GCCTCCCCCTACCCCACGGGCCGTGCATTGCCGGGCAGGTGGGGCGGGGAGGGGGCTGGAGCAAACCGCCTTCCCCCCGGGGGGCTTACGGGCATCTTCCCCCGTGCGCGGCGGCGAGGGTGCGGTGCCTCCGCCCGGCGGTGGTGTTCGTGCCTCCAGGCAGGGCTGCTTTTCCTCCAGCCCCGGGGATTTCTGCCTTGAAACGGTTTCCGAGGTGAGTGGTCAGAGGCACCTGCAGCCACGATGAAATTCCCATTTTTGTGTTGATCAGCGCGTGTTATTAAGGGCTGGCATTAAGCAGTGCTCATCACGTAGGCTTTGTCTAGGTGGAAGCATGGCTGGGGCTCTTCCGTCATCTCAAGTTTAATTCTTTAATCATAGCCTTGTTGCTTCCCTCCCCGCCGAGCCATGCTAAGCAACCCCACACTCAGTTCTGTCTCCAGGGCGAAAGCAAACTGCCAAAACGTAGAAATGCAGCAAGCACTAGGGAGAACTGGAGTCTAAAAACGAAAGCTGTAGTAAAACCACAAGGTCACAGGCGAGTGGGTGCAAGTGTTTGATTTCAGGGCTCCTCTTTGCTTGCACTTCACAGGAAGCTGTTCTTCCAGTCCCAGATGTTGGAAATCCGCGAGTCAGGCAATGGAAATGGGGGCTGAGAAAGGCTGGGGTTCTCTGTGTACTCTCCCAACACCTGCCTAGGCATTCATGTGCTTTTTCTCACCACCACAAAGAGAAGAGATGCACTTTTATTTAGAAAAGGGAAGCTGGGACACTTGCATGTTGATGTGATGATGGCGGCTGGGAAAAAAAGAGCTGTGCTGTAAGGCTTTGGCTGGGGCCGTGGACATCACCAAAGAAAGGCATTTGTGTTCCCTTGGGTGCATCTGATAAATGTTGCTTTCTACCCTTTTCTTTCCAATTGGTTCTTCAATAGCAGCTTTGCCCCTTTTCCAGCAGAGGCATTTAGCCCAAATAGGGAAATAATCTAGCATTTCTAGAGCCATAACCTATCAGCCAAGCCATGAACCCCGACCACCATCTCCCCAGGAAAGTTGATGCATTGCCTAACTCCTCTTACACCTCACCAGCTCTGTTTCTCTGGAGGCATAAACAACTCCTAAGCCAGTGCTGGGGAGCCGCGTTGCTCAAAGCTTCCTCTGTACCAGGGTTTTTGTTCAAGATATTTGAGGAGGTTGGATGTACTCTTTATGCCTAGTGTCCCTGAATGCCAACACCGAGCACCACAGTTTTAAGCTGATGAGACTTTGCTTGCTTCTCTCTCCCCCACTTTTACTAAGCTTTTTGTGATCTTTTGGCTGTGAATTGCTCCTGAGACTTAAATACTCACTGTCCTGCAGCTGCCCAGGCTGCACCTAGTTTGCTCTCCTCGCACTGCTGTACATGGCACAGCATGAACTTGGCTCATGTCCTTGCTTTTGGGAGTCTCCACAGCACCTTGCATGATGCCATATAGGCACAGCCATTTCTCTGCCTGTTTGGGCCTTTGGTAGTGTCCTGATCTGCTCAGGGCTGTCCAGGTTGCAATTTTCCGGCATTATGTCTAAGACAGAATTTGGTTTTCTGCTGTGTTTTCAGGGGGGTACAGTCCTGCTGGCTTACTGGGGAAAAGTCACTGTTCTCCAGCATCCTAATGAAACTCAGATCCTATAATAAAGCCCAGTGTCCACCAAGGCGTCACTGGACAACCAACCAACAGGTTGGTCATAGACAACACAAACTGCATGCAATACTGGCTGTCCTTGCAACTGGTACAGTGAACAACCTGGAGCTCTGTTCAAGCTCAGGGTGCTGTGATCTGCATGTGCTCCCAGCTCATGGACATTGGTGCCTGCAGCTGTGCAAATCCTGGCTGCACTTGGGTCTCCTGAAGGGTGTTCAGGGTGCTGTGCCACTGGGACTCTGGCATCCAATATGGGCTGAGCTCACAGACCTGTCTTTCTCTTGCCAAGGGCAAGCTCTCCAGCTATTTTCAGGAAGCTTGTAGGAACTTGGCTTTCTCCGCTATCTCTATCCCTCTGGTGATTTTAGCTGAAATTGGGAGGGGGGGGAGCAATGTGAACAGACAGACAGACATGGAAACTGTGATTTCATATGCCTGGCTTCCTAAGGAAACCTGGCTACAAACAGAAGTGAGATTTGCTGCTGCAAAGAGCTTCTGGGGGGAGGGAAGACAGGGGGACACGGGGGAGGGAGGGAGGGGTGGTTAACCTCGCTTTTGAGATAGGCAACCAAGGCCCGGCACACACCTGGGCTTAGACTCCCTTTCCTTAGATCTGGTGGTCTAAAAACTGGGCATCTGCTTGGCACTAGCGTTCAGCTCCCTCTAGAGTCAGCGGTGTGAGAGCTGTACCTCTGGACAGTGACTCTCCTGGGAGGTGCTACCATCCTTCACCAGCCAGGGCTAGGCACCTAGCTGATGGATGGAGTGTGCCAGGCTGGGCCTCCATCCCAAGCTAACCTGCCCAGCTCCTGTCTAGGACTGTGTCCAAATCGCTTGGGTCCACAACCTGCATTCGCCTCAGCCTTTCCCTACACACATTCCCAGGGATGTCTCCCACCTCTTCATCCCTGGATGGGCGCTGGAGCTGGGGCTTTGTCTCTGCTTCCTTGAAGCTTTCTGTTCCTTCCTCCCGCAGAGCCCAGGAGAGCATCCTGCTGCACAGGGGACCCAAACACAGCTACAAACCCAGGCAAAAATGGGCCTGGAGGGAAGAGCAGCCACAGGCAGACAGGAAAGCAACAGGCCTGCTAATTCCTCTCTCTGAGCCCCTATGGGGCACCTCTGGGCAGATGCTTCCTCCCCAGGCTACCCAGGAGCCTCAGGCTTATTAGCAGTGTTTTATTCTCCCAACGCTCACGGGAGGTGCTTTTCCCGTTTTACAGAGGGAGACACAGAGCACAGGGAGGCGAAGGGCTGCCCTGAGATCGCAAAGGGATCTTTGAGGCAAGGCAGCCTCAAAGCCGTTTCGTGGAGACCAGGCACATAGCACTGTGCTTAAATAAGCAAGGGAGATCCACAGGCAGAGGAAGGCATTAACAGCCCAGGAGGAATAATGGGGAAGAGCCTGATGCTGCTTGATAAAGAAGAGACCAAAAGCAGGTGGTAGGGACAGAGAAATGGTCTGGAGACAGCAGCGAGTAGGAGGGGAGATGTAAAAAATAAAAAAAAAATACAACCCCAAAAGAAAAGTAGTATTTCTCCCTTGCTTCTCATTTCCTGGCATTTTTCTTGCTGAGATCTTGAATCATGGGGGAAAGGGACAACTTGCCACTTGGTCTCCGTGCGTTAAAAAGCAAGGCTGGAATCTCCCTGACAAACACTTCCAAGCTCAGTCTCTACAAGCTGCCCCCAAATTCATCCAATCTGGCTGAAATTTTATATCGGGGATGTTTTATTTTCTCTATTTATCTGTTTATTTTGGAAAGTTGCTGGGGAGATTGTGGGAGGAGATTGCATGCTTCATTGAAGAGATAGGATACTTGGAAAAATCAGTTGCAGACTGATAATTGTTCTAACTTTTTAATGTCCTTTACAGAAAACAGGGTGGCCTGATATGTATTTTACTTGATTAGCTTCATGGAGGGCTTGTGCCTCTGACTATATTTGGAAAGGTTTTGATGTTTTTTGTACTGATGCAATCAGGATGCTGATGGCCTGGAAATCATTTTCCTGATGTGGATATCTGGAGGGTCATGGGCAGGGGATGCCAACAGGCTGTGCCTGTTTTGGAGTGGCAGAGCTGGGTGGAAGGGAGAAGGAGCTGGGCAGAGCCAGAGCAGGGCTGTGAGTGAAGGGTTTTCCAAGCTGTGTTTAAAGTGCTGTCACACTGTGCAGCCCTGAGTGGCAACACAGTATTTGCACATAGTGGCTTTCCTCCACGGGTCTGGATGTACAGCCAGTGTGGTAGTAGGGTCCTTCTCCTGCTTTGATGGGTAAAAATCACAGCTGGCAGGAGCTACTTTTTACCAAAGCTGTGCCACGGGTCAGCATCAAAATCAGAAGTGAAGCCAGCGGAGGCTTTGGCTGCCTAGACAAATCTCCAAGCACCCTGTACTTTTCAGGGCTGTTGGCATCCGTTTTGTGTCCCTCAGCTGTAGGAAGCTGGACCTAGGCTCTTGGCTGATTTACTGATTGATGGTCAGAGACCAGACAATTTGTTTGGGCTTTTTTTTTTTCCCTACAATCATGTCTTTTCCCAGTACAGGCTTTGCTGGAGCTGCCCTGCTGTGAAGCAGATTGCTGCTTTCAATGAGGCACAGGTGTACTGGCTTCAGCATGGCCAGGAAGGGTCAGTAGGAGAGGAGAGGAGAGGAGAGGTTTGCTAGCCCTCTGGAGATGGGGCGGTGGATGTGAGTCCCACCCGTGGAGGCAAGGTGTGCACCGCTTTCCCCAGGGAAGGCTGGTTATTGCTTGCAGTAGACTCTTAAGTGCTGCTCTCCAGCAAGAGAAACTGGGAAAGGGGTGCTGTGACTTGGAGACTTCAGGTCTGACCTTGGGGTAGGAGCATAGGGCACATAGCTTGAAACAGTCATTTTTGCAGGGGGAAGGAGGCACTTGTTGGCTAGGAGACCCTGTCCTCTCACTTGGGGCTTTTTGGCAGTTGCTGTCTTTTCACCAGGGACACTGGCAGGGGACTAAGTAGCTGGCTTGCTTTGAGGCTCTGTTTCTCTAGCTTGCAGGCTAGCTGTGCCTTGCAGTAGCTACTCGCTTCTTCTTTGTCAAAGTTTTTGGCCCCTTTGGCTGAAGAGAGACCATCTTTCTCCTGCCCTTGACACCAGCAAAGGGGATTTTGAGCTGCCTTCCCTGTCTCCCTGCAGCAGTGCACTCTCACTAGGAAAAGCTCCTCTCTGTCTAGCTCTGACTATGGGATGGGAAAGGGCTGGCTGGGAGTCCCCGCAGTATTGCAACATGCTCCTCATTGTGTCCCCACAGCATGTCAAAAAGCAGCCGCCCTCGTGCGAAGAGCAAACTTCCTACTGCCCCCCAGCAAACAACCAGTCACCCTATGGGGAGAGGGTGCTGCTCCCACCTCCCGTACACCAGTGACACAGCTGTGGGGACACCCTCTCCCATACAAGCTGGCAGTAAATTCACAGTAATGATGTTTATTATGAAGCTGATGTCACAGTGGGGTAGGCACTGTCAGGTAGCATCGGTGGTGGCTGTAATGGTGTGAATGTTGCTGTGTTACAGCTGCTCTGTACAGGTTTTCTGTTGAATGCTGGGAAAAAAATTCCCCATGGAAAGTCTCTCTCTCTCTCTTTGTGTGGCCACTCATTCCTTGTGAGCCCAGGCCATTTCCTTCCTTGCCCAATCCTTCTTCTGTAATGAAAGTGTCTGGGCTAGCAGTGTTTTTTCAGTACTCTGAAAAATAATGGTGCTACCAGCTTGTTGCAGATGGTCATAAACCTGTGTGTGATACAAAGGTGTAGGAAAATAACAGGAAGGGTCTTACAGTGGATATTTCAAGGGCAAAGTGCCCAAATGAAGATGGGACTTCTGGGAGGCTGCTGCAAAGGAAAAGCTGTGCTTTGCTGAAACGCAGAGCAGCTTTCAGGCTCACTTTGCATGCAGCAACCAGCCAGCCCAAAGGAGCGTTGCTGCCAGGGAAAGAGCAGAGTCTAAAAGGCCGTTTTCTCCCCATCTGGCAGCTCCCGAGGGAGCTCTCTCCTACCAATTTGTAAAACCTAGAGCTCCCATGTCCAGCAAGGAGGCAAATATCTCTGCAACCCTCCTAGCCCTGCTGTGGGCAACAACTGCCCTCCTGGTATTTCACAACACCAAGGGTTGGAATAAAGGCTGGACCAACATCCCTTGGCCGGGAGCTGCGTCTAAACCAAGCTTGCCTCAAAGGGACCATGCAGCCTCTTGCAGGCTTTCCTCCATGACTGTGCAAAACCAACTACTAGCGCCCTGTGGGAGCTTGTCTGCAAAGGGAAGGAGCACAGCTGTGACTTCAGGAGAGCCTGAGTTGGGATCTGGCTCTCCTGGTTAGCTCCAGCTCTACCTGAAAGCTCTCAGGCAGCCGGCTGCAGAGAGCCCCAGGACAGCTCCACTCCCTCGGTGGTAAAAAGGGCTCTGGGTGCTGCCCCTGGGCATGGGGTAGTGCTTATGGGCAGGGTTGTGCTGGGCTGGAGTGATGGTTTGGGGCTCTTCACCATACACGTATGGCCAGCACCGAGCCCAAGAGCAGCTAGACCCCTGCCCTGTGGGAGCTTGTCTGCGAAGGAGCAC